TAAGACAGTGTCTTATTTTCGGGGAAACACGGTATCTACTATACAACACCAATGTCAGTTCAGTTACATTTTTCACACACTGCTGATATAATGTTGTAATATAACAATGCATACATTGCTGGCTCATTTAAATGTTACAGTGACAATTTTATTTTATTAGGTTACATAATTAAATATGCGCACACACAGCGGACGTGTTCCTGAACAAACATTTGGCAAATATATGCCTTACACCGGAGGTTGCTTAAAGAGGTAGGACCAATGAAGAGTGTTGTGGCTGGAATGTCATGATTATACAGAACTGCACCAAATCTACATTCTGGCATTGGCTGCCCCACATTAGAATCCCCCTCCGGGTTTTATCGCACACACAAGTCTATCCAAAATTGCAATTTAAATGTTTAATGCATGCCAGCAGAGTTTGTTTTTTTAGGGGCCTCTAGAAGAGGAGATCACCTCTTGTGCTTCCTAGCGCAGCTACTCCTGTCGTGGAGTCTCTCTCTTCCTGCCACATATTCAGTACTGTAAGAAGTGGATGAAGATGTTACAAGTGAGAACGAAGCTCCTCCGCATAAAAAGTCCATGAACTAGGGATGTCCCGATACAGATACTAGTATCGGTATCGGGGCCGATTCTTAAGGCTGATTGCGGCCCTTTCAATTTTTAAACAGCAGAGGCTCTCCGAGTTCCCGCGCCTGTGGGGACCTCGGCAGCCTGCTGGGGACCTGCAGATAGCTGTCCATGGCAGTGCCTGTCCGGTTCTTTATCTCCTCTCCCTCCTTCCCGGCGCAGCCACAGCTATGGAGAGCCCCAGGTGCGGATTTAAGGGCAGTGGAGCCGGAGCGACCGCCGTAGGGCCAGAAGCTGGGGGACTCTGCCGCCGATTGACAGGGCTGGGCCGGGAGAAGGATGGAGGTCGGGGTGCCCAGCAGCGGTGATGGTCAGCCGACGTAGAAGAGGCTGGGTCGCAGCATCGACGGTCCCGAAGTGGAGGAGGCCGGGTCCCAGCATTGCCGGTCCGGACGTGGATGTCGCCCGGGTGAGATAGACAAGCAGCCTGGTGAGAGGAATTCTGCTGTAGGGACATGTATTCGCAGAATACATGTCCCTACAGCAGAACCCATTTCCCTAAGGCAGAATACTATGCTCCGAATACATGTCCCCAAAGCAGAATATTATTCTGCCTTAGGGACATGTATCTCGCTTTGGGGACATGTATTCTCAGATTACATGTCCCCAAAGCAGAATACTATTCTGCCTTAGGGACATGTGTTCTGCTGTGGGGACATCTGTATTTAACCTTGGCGAGAAACTGCCCTAAAATCATCAGTCCAAGTTGAACCTGTATTAAAGGAGAACTATGGGGTTAGGGCTTTTCCCCATAGTTCTCCTTAGGGTAACGGGAGGACACAAACTAGCGTCCTCCCCTCACCCTAAGCTCAGTATATAGGGAGCTACAGCTCGCGGTATACTGAGACGCTGCAGCCGGAGTGGATCCCGACATCGCTGTCGAGATCCGCCCAGCTGCGTGACTGACAGCTGGCTCTGCCTATCTAGAGGCAGAGCCAGCTGTACCCGCCCCCTCCCCCGTCCGTTCCTCTAGTCAGCGCTGGCGGATCGGAGCGGGGAGGGGGGAATCCATCCCCTCCCATGTCACGGCAGAGAGCCGTGACAGGATCGAGAGGTGAGCGAACGCCGGTATGTGTTCGCTCACCTCCCGATCTACTGAGCCGACCTGTGACGGTCTCATTGTCACAGGTCGGCTAGAACTATGAGGTGAGTGAAAAGCACTCACCTCATAGTTCTCCTTTAAGGGTATGAAAAAAATAGGTTATACCACAACCCACACTGGTGCACCAGAACACCAGAACCAAAAGGGAAGAATAGGACTCTTGCCATTCAAACAGCCAGAGGTGTTCATAAAGTTTGACAAGCACTGAAAAACTGCCTAAACTCCTACAGAACATGATTCTTAGAATCATTCAACTTACTTCGGATCAATACAGCCTCCTCCCCCGAGGAGTGAGTGGTAGGATTCTTAGTCATGCTTATAAGAACATTCACCTGATTTGGGATAGGAATGAAGGCATAATCTGAAGAAACGTCCTCAAGAGGTAGCAGGTCAGCTGCAAAAGCCGAGCCATCTCCCGAACACCAGGTCCTGTGAAGGCCTCTGGACTTGCGCTTCTCCCCCCTCGAGATATCTGCATCAGGGTCTCAGTGAGGTCTGCCTGCTGGTAGTCCGGGGTGTAAAAGGGTCGTCCAGCAAAATAAAACTTCCTGTCGAGAAGGAAAAGAGTGGCACCCAAGTACTGAGCCCTCACCTTTCAAAGTGGGGACCACCGACTGAGGAAATCCAGAAGGCACCATCCAGCATAGGGACTAGGTCACTCGACCAGCCTCATAAAGAGTGCCCACACATGCCCACAACAAAACAGGGACTGTTCCTGGGCATTTCCAGTCCTCATAGAGGAATGACCTAAATAGTGGGAGTAGCAGGAAGGTCTTTGTAGCTAAAGGAGCTCTACAAGCCCCTAGGACTGTAACAGATGTTTCAGGGTAGTACACACTGCATGTAAATATGAGACGCTTGCAGGTGGCTCAAAAACAGCTAGTCCAGAGGAAGACTTTTGGGACTCTGAATCTGAATCAGAGATAGTAACAGGGTCCTCGGGCTCAGAGCAGTTTAACCCCTTCATGACTGAGGCCTTTTTTTCATTTTTTTTGCACCCCTGTTATATTCCACATTTTAGGCCTGAAAATGACTTAAAATCTGAATGCCAGGACCCTATAGAATAAAATGGTGGTAGTTGCAAATTTTTATGTTGCGCAATATTAGCGCAACTCCTTATTAAACCTCAAAATGTAGTGAAATATTTAATGAAATGCCCCAAAAAACAACAAAATACCCATTTTTTAAATGAAATATAAAAGATGAGGTTACAACAAGTAAAACGATACCCGACATGCCCAGGTTGCAAATTGCGTGCGTCCGTGAAACGGCGAAAAACTGCAGTACCCCCAAAAAGTCCGTAGAAGAGACACTTTAAAAGCCCCCACATGTCATCAATTTAGAGATACCCCAAAATACTGGAATTATTGCTCTCACTGCGGCGTGCGCGGCGATACCCAACATGTGTAGCGCGTTCGTCGTTTTCATACGTAGGCGCGCCCGACGCGTATTTACGTGGCGACGAGCGTGCTCGTGGGGGGACTTTAAAACATTTTTTTAAATTATTATTATACTTATTTTATTTAAATTTAAAAAACTGTTTTTTTTTTAACTTTACTTTGACTGCTAACACATAGGGGGGCTTGCAAGCCCCCCCCCATGTGATAGCAGATGGTGGTGACAGGTACTCTAAGGTGATGCTGGGGGTCCAAAAGACCCCCCAGTGTCACCTAACACTAGAAATAAGCTATTAAAGTGCAGATCGGCCCCTTCTACGGGACACAGAAGCGATCTGGCGACAGGTAAGTCGCCAGAATCGCTTCTGTTGTCGGCTTTACAAGTTTAAACAGAGTCATGGCGGCTTTTGCCAGCCCCGATGCTGGCGATGTACACTGTACGTCGTCAGTCACGAAGGTGTTAAGGGCTCAGGATGATCCCAACTGCCTGTATCCAGCATTATATCCCATAAGGGGCGAAAAAAAAATTTCTGCCCCGGGCGCCCAGAACTCTGGTTACGCCACTGGTCCCAGCAGCTTCTATATTCCTGTGTTCTTAAAGGGCAATGGAGAAGTCAGCTGTATTTAAAAGGTCAACGTTGGGTATCTAAAGATTCAAGATGATCAGCTCTCTTTAATAGAAGGCATAGTATACTCAATGCCCAATCACGTAGTGACATATGGCTTGGAGGATCGCACCATGATGTGTGGCACAGACAGAGGCAATTGACACTCCAGGGAGTGTTGAATGTTGAGGCTGCAGAACTGAAATGGAGTGGAGGTAGGAGACCGGTCTCTGGAGAGGTGAGTATACCGTGCCTTCTATTGCAGGGACCTGGCAGTTTTATATCTTTAGAAACATGACAGGGTCTCTTAAAAGGTGCTCTATGAAAGCTATCAAATACTGGACGTCCTGTCATACATTATATGGGCAAGGGATTGTGGACACCTGACCATCACATCTTGCTGGACACCTCATTCTAAAATCTCTTTAAACCTCTCTTTAAGGCATGGAAAGTGACAGGTAATACAAATCAAATGCAAATAGGGTTATGCACACATGGGCATTTTTATTCTGGTACAATCAACACCAATAAAAAAAATGGCAGAAAGTCAGGAGGGTGCAGGACATGCTGGGGGGCACATTGAAGTAAACAGAAGTCAGGAGGGTGCAGGACATGGTGGGGGGCACATTGAAGTAAACAGAAGTCAGGAGGGTGCAGGACATGGTGGGAGGCACATTGAAGTAAACAGAAGTCAGGAGGGTGCAGGACATGGTGGGAGGCACACTGAAGTAAACAGAAGTCAGGAGGGTGCAGGTCATGGTGGGGGACACATTGAAGTAAACACAAGTCAGGAGGGTTCAAGTTATGGTGGGGGGCACATTGATCACTTCAAGTACTGTACAGAAGTCCATTTAGTTTTTAGTAATTTTTTGTGCAACCCGCAGGGAAAATGACAGCTAAAAAGAGTGCAGCCTTCCTATAGAAAGTAGATATATCTATAACATTTGGTGCTTTAGAAAATGCCATATCCCTTTGGCTAGGAGACTTCTTGGCTATATTTGATAACATGTTGGGCTTTTTATATTAGTAACTTTAAATTAGACAATCTTGTTGCACTTAAAAGGTCTCTCACTGTGGCCTTGAAAGGTGCTGCCAGACTCTGTCCTGCTTTCAGGATTTTAAAAATAAATAAAATGGATCAGGAAAGGCAAAAAGCCCGTGTGTGCATGCCCTAATATCTGACAATGACTTCAGATTTTAACTTTAATCCAAGGTAAGTATGTAACAAAATTCATCTCTGAGGACAGGCATGATGGAGGCCATCTCTGAGGACAGGCATGATGGAGGCCATCTGTTACACACCGCCTTGTAACATGAGCCATTTGTATCTCCACAGACAAAATATACTCTTCTAAAATTTGGTCCGGGACTTTCAAGAAGGAAAGAAAACTATAAAGTTAAGTTTTTATTAAAACCTAATGGAGGTTCTTCTATACCGGGCTAATCTCTGGCTTCCAACTAAGTTAAACAAAGTAGTCTTTTAGTCATCCAAGACACGTTATAAATAGAAAAATATTTAGCCCACATTTGGCCGTTCAGAGCTCGTCGTGGTAGAAGTGCTCGTCCTGAAGCTGCCGTCCATAATCTGTGGCTTCGCTGGTTAGAAAGATGTCCCGATTCTGCAGTATTTCTATTTCCGACAGTCTCCCGTCTCCGTCCTTGTCAATGGATTCCATCAGATGACTGGCCTGCACGAGGGAGAGCAAGATCTGTCATAGCAGTAACACTAAAGTGACCTACAGCTCCAGGGTTTTACCATGATTAGGAGATGGAAGTAAAGAGCTCGGCTGTAAGATCATCTACTGACGTATAGAGCTCGCATGTGAAGTTATCTACCGGAAGTATAGAGCTCCCCTGTAAGGTCATCTACTAGAAGTATAGAGCCCTCCTGTAAGGTCATCTACTAGAAGTATAGAGCCCTCCTGTAAGGTCATCTACTGGAAGTATAGAGCCCTCCTGTAAGGTCATCTACTGGAAGTATAGAGCCCTCCTGTAAGGTTAACTACTGGAAGTATAGGGCTCTCCTGTAATGTCATCTACTGAAGTATAGAGCTGGCCTGTAAGGTCATCTACTGGAAGTATAGAGCCCTCCTGTAAGGTTAACTACTGGAAGTATAGAGCTCTCCTGTAATGTCATCTACTGAAGTATAGAGCTGGCCTGTAAGGTCATCTACTGGAAGTATAGAGCTCACCTGTAAGATCATCTACTGGGTATAGAGCTCGCCTGTAAGGTCATCTACTAGAAGTACAGAGCCTGGGATTAGGTGGTTAATGTACAGGTGCATGAGCATAATTAAGCAAGGATTGCCTTTTTAACCCAGAGTTTCATCAACGGAAGTTGCTGAGTGGTTGTCAGCTGCTTCTTCCCGTGACCTGACCTGTGCACTTCTTCTGTGATTTGACTCTGTAATATCTCGATCTCCTGGCTTCTGACTACGGCTTCCTGGTTGCTGCTTTGTACCTTCTCTGCCTGGTTGTGCTTGACGACTTCATCCCTGGCTTACTCCCTTGTCTACGTGCGTTGCCTAGCTATGACTGACCTTCACCTTGCCTTTGACCCAGCTGCATCTAAGGTACTTAGGTACTCGTGCTCCTCCAAGCTTCTGCTTAACCTATCTCGACTCCAGGGATTAGACAGGAGATGCAAGGGATGCCCCCACATTGCTTGGCCTCAGGTATGTGACACTTCCTCACTGCTCTAATTCTCGGCACAGGCTGAGTGCCAAAAATAGAAGACAACTGTAACTCCACAGAGCAGGATGAGAATTTGAGTTATTGGATTTTAAACTGAATAGGTACTTTGATGTTTACTATGGCCATATCTGGGACCAGCATGCACTAATCTGTCAGAACCTTTTTCTGTCTAGAGTTCCGCTTTAAACCCTTCCCGTCTCTATGCATAATGAAAACAAAAACTGGATTCAAGATCTTTTTTTGGTGATATTACAAAGGGGCCCAATTTAGACAAAGGATTTCCATGAATAAAAATACCTGTAAGCCAACTAACAATGGGTTGATTTAAGACCAAAAGTAACATTAGCACATTGCAAATGATTTGGAGGAAACATTGCAATGATCACAAATGATCAGAAAGTCCCCTCTCAGACTCAGAGTAAACCTTACCTCTTCCTGTGAGATCCCGACATTGTTTGGAACAATCCAAGACAGAAGTTCTATTGGGTTGAGTTTCCCATCGCCATCCTTGTCATAGTCATTGTCAAAGCGGTCTCTCTCCACAATGACCCACTGCGGGTCTTCCGTAGCATCTTTGGGAAATTAAAAACACACATTGCTGCTAATCCAACAATTACCACAATCACAGCCCAATCTTTTCACGACTCCCAACCCTTGTGAACAGCCAGTAATGCTCTGCGTGGTCTGGTTGAGGAGATCTGGAAGAAGTGTAACATGAAACATGGTTGCACTCCCTAACCGCTTCCCAACACCCACTTATCAAGGTGATGTCAGCATTCTTCTCTGCCATGGTTTCCTATGAGCCACACATGGCTTGATTAGCTTTCCAACTGCTGCATGTGCCCATGTTTTTGTGGTCACTGTCATTGTAATGTTTCCTGCGTCCATTCCTTAAGGGATTCCCCTTTTGTAATTACACCTGAAGGTCATGATCCCAATCTCAGCAACTGCTGTGAATGTTTTTTAAGCCCTGATGAAGGGGGTCCATGTTTGCCCCAGAAACACATTGGCACTTTGATGCTTTAATTCTTACCAATAAAAACTCCCTTGGACTCTTCTTTGTTTGGTGTTTTTTTTTGTTCTAACCAACGTCTCCAGGCCCCCTTCCTGCCTCCTGTGGGGTCCCATGTAGGTGGAAGTGCAGCCACTACCAAGCAATTGAGCCCAACAAAAGAAACCCATACTACAACCATGGGAAGATTACAATAAAAGATCACATGCCGCTCTTCTTAGTATAAAGATGGCTTGGTGACATACCCCTAGGGGGCACTTCCTTTACTCCCTGTGCTCACAGGAAGTGGATTGAATGAAGCTTGGGGTAATATAACTCCCAGGGCACTGGTCTTCAAAGCGATGAATCTGGACTGGACTTGAGCTGGGCTTGGGCGTAATTCAACTCCCAGGGCACTGGTCTTCAAAGCGGTGAATCTGGACTGGACTTGAGCTTTCAGCAGACTCAGACAAGATATCTCCATCAACTACCCCATGTACAACGTTGTCTGGACTTGTGTAGACATGTCCCGGTTCAGTTTGGCCCCCCCTAAAAAGTTGACGTCTATTTTGCATCATACCTGGATCCTGAGAGTATTCACCGAGGTATTCTTCTAGACTAACAAATCCATCCCCATCTTTGTCATGTTCTTCTAATGCTCCTTCAATAACAAACTCCTGCAATTTAATTAACAATTCATTAGACTTCAACACAACAAAGCACATTACACTTGTATTATCTGTTCCCCAACACAGTGAAAAAAAGGAGGGGTGCAGGTGTTCTAATCCTACTTTTTTGTCCTCCCCTAAGCCATTTGCCTCCCACCTTTCTGCTAGGAAACCATTCTCCCCAGCATAGTTTGCTCTCCAATGGACCTCCTGTGTCTTGGGGCTACAGTGGAGAGGTTCATAAGTGTTGCGCCACCCCCTGTGCTGGATACAGCGGTTTAGAACTCACCCAACACCACCCTCTTTTCCAGCAATACTGTACCTCGTAGTTAACAGGCAGGTGTGGTATTAGGACACCACAAATCCAACACCTTCACATATGCGATAGCAAGACGTGTGTACAGTGCTCTCCTGTCTGTGCCCATAATACGACCTACTTCGCCACCCCCTTCCCTCTCCAACAGACGATGCTACGAATTATAAGACTTGCAGATTAAAGGCACGCGCCACATCAGCGTTTCTCAACCTTTTAAAGGGTGCCATGAATGCAAAAAGTGTGCAAAGTGAGGCACTCTATGTAATTGATTTTAAGGGGGGGGGGCCCCATTCAAAACCACAAAAAAATAGGGTTCACTCCTTCACATCAAAGTCTTTTTTTTAAACCAGGAGCCCTCTTCACATCAGAGCCTCCCCATTTCACATCAGAATCCCCCCTTCACATCAGGAGCCCCCCTTTACCGAGCACTCCTTTTATATCTGGGTCTCCCCATTTCACATCAGAGATCCCCCTTCACATCAGGAGCTCCCCTTTACACCAAAAGCCTCCCCTTTACATCAGAGTCCACCCTTCATATCAGAGCACCCCTTTCATATTTGAGTCCCCCCTTTCCACATCAGCGTTTCCCCCTTCACATCAGGAGCCCCGTTTGACGTTATTGTCCACCCTTCATATCAGAGCACCCCTTTCATATTTAAGTCCCCTCTCTTCACATCAGTGCTCCTCCTTCACATCGGAGTCCTCAGTTCCCCCTTTCATATCAGAGTTCTAAAACAAACTTTCGAGGCACCCCTGAGGAAGCCAAGATGCACCCTGGTTGAGAAAGGCTCTTCTACATCACTGCCTTGTGAGACTGCAGCATTATAACACATCCCCCCAAATTAAAATAACCTCAAAGTTGAACTCCAGAATACTGCCCACTTTGGAGTCTCAGATCCCTTTCCCCCCTGTGAACAATAAAAGTGCTGTACATTTTTTTTTACCATGATTCAACGGGAATGCACTGGTATGGGGGCGGAGCTTAGGGCTGAGGTGTACTAATGATTGTCAGTTATTTGCAAAGCTGCAAATCAATGGCTGGTGGGTTGCGTCCAGGGACTGCGGAGATTGTTCCCGCCCACAGAAGGAAGCCGTGATGTCATATTCCGCTCCGTATAGTGAATAGCGTTAGGCCGTAAGCTAATAGTCTTCATGGGTTCTTACCAGCATGTAATCAGTTTCTTCAGGATGCTCGAAGTCTGTAAATTCTCTGAGATTTAGTCCAGGAATATTGTCACGGTCTGCGCGTTCAAATCTCTTCTTGTCCCTCAAATGGATCTTTCAGAAAGACAAATACTTTCATTAAAATTAGGGCTGGTAATAATTAAAATTTTCGTGTTCGATTAATCGAATTTTTTTTAATCGATTAATTTCGATTAATTATAACGCAAAAAGGGACGAGAAACCCCAAACTGTTCTTCCCCTGTCACGGCAGAGAGCCGTGACAGGATCGAGAAGTGAGCGACCGTCCGGTATGTGTTCGCTCACCTCCCGATCTACTGAGCCGACCTGTGACAGTCTCATTGTCACAGGTCGGCTAGAACTACGAGGTGAGTGAAAAGCACCCCCCCCCCCACCTCATACTTCTCCTTTAATCCAAGGTTCCCTTTTCAGCATTGATGAGTAACACGACGAGTAATTTACCAGGCGGAAAGACTCCTCCTCGTCATCTTCCAGAACGGTATCTTCAGAGTAGTCTATGATTCGGTCATACATGTGCATGTTGTACTCCCTCCACGTGACGATCCCATCGCCATTCTGGTCCACCTCCGCAAACTGCTCCTTGGTGTCTTCTAACACATAGTGCTTGAAGGACTTCTGGATCCACCAGCTGAGCTCATCTGCAAGGTCACAAAACGTCAAACTAACCCAATGATGCAAATATCCTCATTGGGGGGGGGGGAATTTATCAACACCGGAGCCGGAAGTATCTGGAGCAGTTGACCGTGGCAACCAATCAGATTCTTTCTTCACTTTGCTCAGGCAAGGTTTGAAAATGAGAGAGAAAAGCTGATTGGCTGCCGTGCAAATCTGCTCCAGTTGTGATAAATCCCCTCCACTGTGTCCAGTTTTGTGATGGGATTACTTTAGCCACCCGGACTTTACCTTCAGTAAGGTATCCATCCGCATCCGTATCTATCCTCCTGATGATCGATTTTAACCTCTTCTGCTGTTCTTCTGGGCTTAGCTCAGCAAACTCTTCCGCTTCTTCCTTGGAGAAGTACAAACAGTGCGATAATGGGTTAGACAGCCGACAAAGTCATTTCAAGTCCTACATGCCACGGTATCTCCCTGGAAACACAACTCATTCAGGAAGAAGGAAAAGTGTCTGTGTTAGCTAAGGGCAGGGCCAGTTCACGCCACAAGTGCGTTCCATGCCCCCATGGTGTCAGGCGCTGGGGGGGCATAGTTTACTGGCCCCTGGAAGCGATTAGCCACCAAAATCGCTTCCAGTGTGAGGCCGAGAGTCAGCTTTACACAGGTGCCGGTGTTCTATCGAAAGTTCCAACCCGTCGGGATCTCCAACCATCTGACTTCCGGTTTAGTTAGCAGTAAGAGGTTTGGCCGAGAAGGCTGTACTGCACGTGCGCCACCCGCGCCATTTCCCTATACACGTACTGCACAGCAATAAACTATTATAATGTGCTAGGGTCAGACTAATCCCAGCACGTTATTCATCTGAGATGCCCCGCTCAATATGGCCGCAAGCGGGGCAACTCTCGAGGAGTTGGAGTTTTCGACAGAACACCTGAACGCACTGGATCACATCCCAACCGGCTCCCTGCGTTCAGGGGTCAGGAGGGGATGTGACAGTGGAATTTTTTTTTATCCCCACTCCGTGTCCTGCACTATGCATTTCAAATTTGTCTCACAAATACAGAACACTCATTGCTCAGCACGGTCACCTGACCAAGGAGAAGCACTTCTGACCAATGAGAGGGGGGCAGATTGGAGGGGGTAATTCCATTTTACAAAATTCGCCTGGGAAAGTGGAATTACCCTTTAATCTAGAATTTTGGTGAAGCTGAAAGCGGGGAAAACGGCATCGGGTCGGATGCCGCCATGCCGGGCTCAGCTAACGCGGAGGTCGCGCTCACGGGAAGTCTGGATCCCTGCGTCGGCTGACCCATACGGCGGAAGTCACCACTGACACCGGAACAGAACTCATCAACGTCCAGCTTTACACTGAGTGGCCAGATTATTATGACCCCCCCATCAGTACTTCGTTGGGCCGCCCGTGACTCCACGAGATGGTGAAAGGTGATGTGAGGAATCTGACACGGCACTGTTACCCTTGTGTTGTCATGTACCAGTCTTGCCCCTCCCCCGTTCTGCCCTAACATTGGCTAGTCGCTGACGGTCAAATCACATCTACTGTCGTGGTAAACAACCCGCTTCCCTATTTATAATAGTCTGGCCCTCTAGCAACTTCAGCGCCAAATTATAGCCAATTTGCCTACAAACGTCAGGTGGTCATAATAATCCGGCCACTCGGTGTATATAATAATCCGGCCACTCGGTGTATATACGGGAGAACCTCCCGCTCTTCTTACCGTACCTCTCCTCCGAGGAACATCTTCTTGTCGTAGTCGGCGTTGTGCTCCCCGTCCACGTAATGCTCGTCGCTGGAATGGCGGGGCGAGCTCTGCAGGTGTGATGCGCCGAGAGTCAAGCTCACGGATATAAATACCGCCAACGCGTTCATCATCGCTCTTGACGGAATCACTGGGGGAAAAAACAACAATATTCTCATTACCGCGGGGCCTGGATTATAGCCGCCATATTGTTCTTTATAGTAGAGAACACTGAACAGACTTATAATTTAACCCTTTTGCCGCCAGTGACGTAAGGCATAGTGGACCCTGGCAGCTACTGTCGGCTTTACACTGGATGTGATTCTGGCGGTTGTAAATCTGTCTGATCGGGGG